CATTCAAGTTCATATATTATCAATTCCTCACAAATGGATCCACAATCATTGGTTGAAGGCTTGTTCAATATCGACGGTGAATCACCCATGACGCTACTAGTCAATTTCACAATAAATTTGTCGGTCTCAACGATGTACCATTACCAAAATATTCCAGATTTGGATCTTCAAGAAAGTAGTAATCCAATTAATTTGGATGACATTAATGTTCCCGTAGCGAAACGTGGAGGAATTAGATATTCTTGACGCAAGAGGAAAGCAAAATCGAAAAATAGGCAAAATGTTGTGATTACTTTAAATTGATTCCAACTGGTCGTATGTTCGACGAAATTGTATAGTCTAAAGTAATATGTAAACACTGTTAAACATGATTAGTATAGCAAAAGGGCATTGATGCCGTCCACTTCAGTCGTCACTACAAGGCAGGTATGGCCAACACATGGACTTGTTGATGCCTCTCAAACGCAACTGCAATTTGGTAGTTCAATCGTTGGTTCCGTGGATATATTCGAAGGAGAAAGCTCGAACGGGAATGGTGAAATTCCTTGTTGGTGCTAAGTTGCCTCTAACAATAGTGAACAACCAATATTTTCGTCTTCCATGTAAAAGAATATCTTTAACTGAGATACATTGGGATAAGTAGAAACGCTATTCATTCCAATATTTCCTTAATATAAAGAAAAATTAATTATTAATTTGTAAAAATCTAGTTGTGTTATACTTATATCTTAACTTTGAATTTATGGGAAGGAATTAATAAAAGAGATTATATAACTGCAACTACACATTACATAGACCTATTTTGGTATATGCACAAAAATTATAGCTTTTAAAATAATTGAGTTCCCACACAATGCTAACAATATATTTAATGCTATCATGAGCATTATTTGAGAATACCATTGCGACAATAAAATTCATTTTTTTTACATTTGACAGCGCTAGAGTTAATAAACCAGTTGTTGATAAGTTTTGTAAGGTACTGTAACTTGATTTCGGTGGTTATTTATTTCATGTTCACTGTGTGTGCCATATATTTAATTTAATTGTATAAGATGGTTTGAAACATATTAAAAATGAAATTCAAAGAATTTAATATGTACTGATATATATCGCGATTTCACCTAGTAAAAAAAAAAAGCTTTCGAGGAATTTTGTGCCGAATTTGAGTTGACAAATACAAAAACATTTGTTAGTGACGTAAGATATAGATAGAACTCTACTCACTTATTATTAAAATCATGTGAAGGATTTGAACATTTAATAACTGAAATTTATAACTATACGCATATTAAAAAACGATGATGACACAATTTGGATTGAATTTGATTGACTTTTAGCTTTTAAAATTAAAAAAATTTTAACAAGTTTTTATGACTCTAGAAATACTTTATCTGGAGTGTACTATCTCACTAGTTGTATGGTGTTTGAACATCTTTATATCATTACAAGGGTATTTCATAAATACAAAAATGATCTCAATTTTAGTGAAGTTATATATCCTATGAAATTAAAATTTAGAAAATATTGATAAGACTTGCCTATATTATTTCCTTTAGCATTCATCGTGGACTCTGATACAATTTATTATATACTAAATATGTAATTCATCAAATTTCGAAAGTTTTATCTTTTAATACGTCTATCACTTATAGAAATTTAGAACAAACTTTATGTGAAATGTACGAATTATATACAGAACGAATGTGTACAAATATTAATTGGGCACCCTCTGCATCCATTGTCAATTTTATATCCCGCAAATGTATGGATTGTTATAGGTAATATAGTGGACCAATGAGTTCGAATATTATTCCCACGAAGACTACCATCAGGAATTGGTTAAATTATTCATAACTTTTATTTGATCGAAAACAAAAAAATAAGATTCATGATTGGTGTCTATATTATTCTAACTAAATTAAATTTTATAACGTACACAATTTATCGAATTTGAATTTTAAAAGTATGAATGTGGATGCTAGGACTTACAATTTTACCCACGGATTCCCTTTAATTCACTAGTCAAGATTCATTGTTAGTGTAGTGTTCGGTTAAACTCTTCTAAAGTATTCAATTTACCACTTTGATTTCTCATTGAGTCTATTTAACTAATTCGATTTTATATCTCTATATGTATCAATCTTAATTAAATGAAATGTTAATTCTAAGAATTAATTTAATGATCACAATAATTTGTATAGATATCTCTAGACTTTATTACCAAATTTTAGTATGCGGTCTAAATCTAATACTCACCTCTCGATTTGTAATAAATTCACAAATCGTTGAATTAGTGTTCAAGTGATTCAAAGCATTAAATTTATGAATAGTATCAACTCATATGCACGTAAAGAACTAGATTCTTAAATAAAAGAAATAAAGGATCACACATAGATCACATTGTTCATCCTATCTATAAATTTAGCTACTCATTATAATGTAAGAAAAAACAAAAAAATACAGAGTTCATAAACGGGTTTTGAAATCTTGATCATGAAAATGATTGAATCTTGTACCAAGAATCTTCTTCAACTTCAAAAGTCTTGAAACTTTAGTTTTTTATTTTTTTTTTATTTTTATCTTTGATCATGATGATTATGTGTTTTTCTTCTCCTAAATTGTGTTTTCTCAAGTTGTATCTACGCTTTCTTCGAGTCTTGGAGAACTTTTAGTTGAATTGGACTTTTAAAAAGATGAATTGCACCTGAAAACCCTATCTGGCCACTGGTGGCGCCAACACGTCGAATTTGGTATTTTTTCCCGAGAGTGGGCGGCTCGACGCCACCTACTCCTTGCATTCTGCATCTTTAGTATTTTTATCATAATTTTCTCTTCTAATATCCAATTAAGGAGATTCAAAGAATGTTGGACAAATAACTCAATTCGAACGTTTATTATGTAAAAAATGGGTCTTAATCTCCGATTAAAAATTTGGAACATACTTGTATTGTTGAAAATTGACTAGTGAAAATATTTTGATCATATTTCACTCATTTTGACTTCTAATTCACCTCTAGCATTCTCAAATCTTCATCATGAGGTTCAACACAACTTTTGAGTATTTACACTTTAGTCCCCAAACTTTGAATCCTGCCTTTTTTTTCGCTAATTTGGTTTATTTCTTTCAATTTCACTTCATTTTATCTAGTTCCACATAGTAAATGAAATATATGATAAATTAGGCTATAATTGTTAAAAAAAAATTATAATGTCTATATTTTTAAATCTAAATAAGTGTATTAATTACACTTATCAGCATATTCTCTTCCCCCTAATCTTGAAAAATAATAAGCTAAAATACGGAATTTATTTGAATGCATTAACACGTATAGATATGATGCAATACGTTCTTCTGGTGGTCTTATGTCTATCATATGTAATCAGACATCAGACGCAAATCACAATGCATTGCCTGCCAAATCAATTGATTACTTTAATCATAATATAACTAGTAATGCATCAATTTAAAAAATGTTCAGAAGAAGTGATTGACGTCCGATGAAAGTACGAATGACGATGGCCAGTGGTTTCTACTATTGCAAAAGATAAACTAATATCTCTAATTAACACTGTAGTTTCAAAGTTTGCTTTTAGTGCAAGTAAAAGGGTTCTGTCCAAAATCAAGAGTTGACTGAAAGAAGATATTTTAGAAGCGTTAATGCGCGCAAAGAATTGACATAACGCTCATTTCAAATTGTAAGATATATGTCAAAATTGGCTGTCATCAGGTAAGTAATATTTAATTAAACCATATTAATAAGACTTATTATTTTTTTAAAAATTATCTGTAACAAGTTGTTTATGTACAATTTTTAACTTTTCCTATTCGAAATTTAAGTAATCGGTTCCAAGCCCGAACAAAGGAGAAATGTTTTTATCTCAAAAAAAAAAAAGAGTGAGCTTGCGGGATCGAAGGTAGGCTCGACCCTCGAGAAACGAGCCAAGCATTGCCATCTCTATCTTTGAGAGGCATCAATACTTTTGAACAAGAAAAATTGCAGTAGCGGTCCATAATCTTTTCATTTTTTACAAACTTTACATTAATATTTATTTTGTGCCAGTGAAGGTTCCTAACCTTTCATAAATATGCACCTGAGGTCTATCTAGACAGAAATCGTCCAAAACACCGTCAGTTGACCTTAAAAATTAAGGAATCAACATCTAATAAAACCGCCCAAAAATGTATCAATATCTAATAAAACCATCACGATAGCAAATAGTTCAAGGAATTTTCCAGATCAACTGACACTGTTTTGGACAATTTTTATCCGGATGAACCTCAAGTGCATATTTATGAAAGGTTAGGAACTTTTGCAGGCACGAAATGAAGGTTAAGATAATATCTTAAATAAATGAAAATGTTAGGGACCGCTGCTACACTTTTCCGTTTAGAATATGCATCAGCAAATGATGGGATGGTAAAAGAATCGAGTAATTCGTCGGCTCAGCTCCTTAAAGCTCAGCCCATGTACGGTTTGGACTTGTTTGGGATGTGCCCAATCCCAAGTCGAGGGGGGTTCGTTCGTCGAGTTGAGCTAGCGAACAACTCGTGGACACGCCCACGAGCTAGTAAAAAATGTGAACAAAATAGTAAAAAAAAAATTTTTAAAAAATAAATTTGAGCTTGTGGGCTCAGCTCGACTCGTGAGCTCACAAGCTCATTGACCAACCCAATCTCGATCGTTGAGCACAAGCCATCCTCGGCTAGTGCTTAAATGAACTTGGGAAGTGATGAGCTCGGACCTGGTAGCTGACTCGGTCCATTACCACCTCTAAAAGTCATGAACATACTCTGTGTTGGCTTCAAAAAATGGAGCTGAGGATTATTCATATCGCTGCTCGTCAAACCTGTCAAAAAAGACTTCCCGTTCCGAGCCACAAATGAAATGGAACTGAGGATTATTCATCTGTAGTTTTGCTTATATGAGCCAAGTGAAATCTTTTCTTAAGACATTCTAGTCTTCTTCCACTTGGGGGATTTCTTCTCAGACCTTGCTCCAATTTGCAGTAGTTTTCAATTCACTGAGAGAGATTGGCGAGGTGAAGTGAAGTTAATTTGGGGGGTGCTTAATTGATGGGGTGTGTTTGGCTGATTTGGAAATCCAAGTGTGCATTTGGCTAAACATCTAGACAATTTCAATGGCCACGTCACCATTTCGTCTTTCACGTAGTTAAAATATGGCGGCAAATGTAAATTTGTATATCTGTGTATCTACGGTCTGAATTAGGGTTCTTTTGGTTGAATACCAATAAAAATATTTGCAAGTTCTCAAAAATGGAGGCAGTGGATGACTCGGAATCGTCGCAGATGTGTAATTTAGCGGTTTTGGACTCTCTGAATGAAGATTTAATTGGAGAAATTGACGATAGCTGGAATGGATTTTGCTTATCTACAGAAGCACTTCTCAAAGGCAATGGCGATTTATCGTTCGCCTCGGATTTTGTGAAGCAAGTGCAGAATCTTTGCAACCGCGGACTGGATTCTCTCGTCATTGAACACTTCCTTGGCTCCCTTGAGGTATATTCATCTTTCTTTGGCTTGAATTTTTCGGGGAAATACGGTAAGGAACTCAGTTTGAGGTAAATTTAGTTATGGGTTTTTATTTTGGGAGCCAGTACAACTTGCACTTCCTGGTCACGGTACTTTTTTATTTTTCCCTATATGAGAGCTTTTTCATTTTTTTCCCTGAAAATTTGAAGAATATATTCAGTTTTTCTTTTATAATTTGAGAGTGAAACTGAGCATTTTTAAGTTCAAATGAGCATTTAAGGTACGTGAAAGACCAATAATTGAAGACATTGAAAATGAAACTTAATTTTCTATAAAAATTTTAGTTATTTACATAATTTTTGAGTCCAGCAGTTATCTTCAAGACTCCTTGTTGTTTACTGGTCCATATTTTCTTTCTAAATTTGAGAAGGAAGTTGAACCCTTTTTTGAAAAAAATTCAGACAAATTGTAAGACAATTGAACGTTAAATAATTCCAAATGTCAATTTTCCCCCTTTTGGGCTTATTTAATGATTTCTCTTTGCCATTTCCATGGTGAAAGAGTGAGGAATAATGAACTGATTGAAATGTTCTTTAATTTGACCACTGTTCCAAAAGGAATTTAAATAACAGTAGCAGGAAATAAGGACACCTTTAATTCAAAGGCCTTCAGCATTAAATAGAAGATATTTTGTAGAGAGGGCACTGTATATATGCATGTGAAATGGTGAGTAGGAACAATAAGTTCTCTGCGTTCATGTATAGTGCGTTCTTATATTTGCTGAAAACTTGTAATTAATATAGGAAACTTTTGAGAAAAATGGGGCATCAAGGTTTTGGAGGCATTTTGATGCCTATGGTGATCTCGCAGTTCTAGAAATGAATGATCAGGTATGTATCCATGTGATGCCTTGGTATGCAATGCATTTTTATGTTTGATAAGTAAGCATTCTATCATTTAGTTAATTTAGACCCAATGGAAAAGAAAGGAAACACAATGGTATAGGTTTCAATATGTTGATGCAATGCTGCCTTTGCTTTCTAATTAGTACAATTATAACAATACTGTGTGTCTTGCAACTTGTCATCACTTGTTGAAATTATTAAATTCAATTTCATAAATTTAGTCTAAATTTTTCTTCATTGCTGTGGTATCAAATTTTTCTCTGTGTATTGGATATATTCTTTCTTTGATGAACCATGTTTAATTTAAAAAGTTAATTTGAGCTATTTAAAATGACAACTGTAACGCAATGAGTTTAATAGAAGGATTATTGATGATTATGTACAACGTTCTGAAGACCAGGATGCTGATGGATATAATATCTAGAAGGAATTTGAAAATCCGTTAGATGTCATAATTTGACATAAGTTCTCATATTCAGAAGATGTAGAAACAAAAATTCTTACAAGTTGCAGATAAAACATAATGTGATGATAAAGGAGTCAAGAATAGGTCATTTGAGGATATAAAAAATATCACTTCATATATTTTTCTCTTACTTAAGATAGTTTATTTTAGAATGTAAATTTCGTTGTTGTTTCAACTTTCAAGCATACGAGAAGCCTGGAGTCTGAAATATGACGGTCAACATTGCTGATTTGATGTACCCCTGCATTTAAATTCTCAGCTTGTAATGAGACTAGTATTACACAATCTTACAATTTAGCTGCCATTAATTCATGAATACTTTGAGAACATTGAAAAATCATTATGCTAGTAGAATGTTTGTTAGTACTAATCGCCAATGTGTTTGATTTTATTCATTTGAAACAAATATTCTTCGTCAATAGAAGGTGCTCCATACTCGATGCTTTAGTTAAGGCTTCTGTTGGTTCAATAAGATTGTAGTGATGATAAATACTGAAACAGGATCAGCAAGACGAGATCCAGCAAGTATTACACAATGCTTTGGAAGAGATATCATCCGAAAAACAATACCAGGAGAAGTGCCTATCATTGTTGGTTCATGCTTTACAAACATACAGAGAAAATAAGTCAGATGGACAAATCAGTTCAGATGCAAAGTGCAACCTTCTTTTCTCGAAGTATCATTTAACATTATCTTCAGTCCTCGTGACCAGTCTTCCTCGGCATTTTCCAGGTATGTTTTTCTCATATCTGTCACATGCTCATGTTAAAGTTTTTTGATTCATTTTCCCTAAATCATCTGATCACTTGTGAGTTAATATTCTTTGTTTAGTGGAGTGGATGGTCATTATTTCACTTCTGTGTCTTCAATTTTTGAAGTCTGCGAATGAGTCTAGTAGTTACTGTTGTAAATTCTTAAGGTCAATATAATACATGTATTTCTCCCTGATGCTTTTTTGGGGGTAGGGAAGGAAGCTTCATATATGATGAAATTTTTATAGCTGTAAGGTGTATTAATTTAACCATGGTGACTCCTATTTCATAATATTCTCAGATGTACTTCACTGGTATTTTAAGGGACGACTGGAAGAGTTAAGTACAATCATGGCTACAGGCTATGAGGACGATAGTGCATTGCAAGCAGAAGATGAAATGGACTTGGATGAGAAAAGCAAGCTATCGTGCAGAACTGGAAAAATGGATATTGATGGATCCCACCTCCATGGAATATTTTTGGGGAACAACAAATTAGTGAAGAACATCGGGATGCTTGTTCGTGATCTTAGGAATCTTGGCTTTACCTCAATGGCTGAAGATGCCTATGCGTCTGCTATATTTTTCCTATTGAAGGTTTTGTGTTACTGATATCAATTAATTGGCATTCAGCTCATTTGATTGCCTTGTGTTTTCTTGTGACTTTGTAACTTTTTGAGATCTATACGCTTTTCTTTTCTTTTTGGAATCATTGATTTCATTTTTACTAATTGGCAACAATATTTTTAAAACTTCTGGATGATGAATTTTCAGCTGAATATATACTATATTCCCTTTGTTTGTGCTTTATATTCTATTTCTTTAATTACTCGACAGACTAAAGTACATGAGCTGGCTGGTGATGATTACAGGAGTTCGGTTTTGGAGTCCATTAAACGATGGATACAGGTAGCTCTTGTAGGCATAATCTGCTTCTCAATTTTTCATATTTACCTTAAACTAGTCAAGCACAAGGATATTTTTTATTCTCTCCGAATCATCTTGAAGTTTTTCTAATTCACCTTTGATAGTAAAGGATATAATTATGTTTCAACACATGCCCTCTGAAATAGGGAGATTTTGTTATGCAGGCTGTGCCCCTCCAATTCTTGCATGCCCTTCTTGCTTACCTTGGTGATTCTAAAAGTAATGGAAGCCCTTCTTCTGGTCTTAAGTCACCTTTGGCATCTTATCCATCCTCTGACTATTATGGAACTGGAACTCCCTCTGAGGGACTTGTCAGATGGCAGTTGCGCTTAGAGTATTTTGCTTATGAAACCTTGCAAGATCTAAGAATTGCCAAGCTTTTTGAAATTATTGTGGATTATCCAGACAGGTAATTTTGATATACTTTACTTTAGATGATGCATTTTAAGATACCAATCAAGCATAATAAAGCAGCATCATGGATAAGCAATATTTCGGCTAATCATATTTTCCTATTTTTTTTTTTTTTTTTACTTTCAAAGGGTTGATTGAATTTTAATGGCCTTCTCTTGCCTTGTTTTATCAGCAGTTGAAGTAAAATGCGTGTGTGAGGGAAGGAGGGAGAGTGGATTGGTTCCTTAAATAAGAAATAAAAGACTAGGGATATGGTGAGGTAGAAAGAGAACTCAACAAAGAAACCTTATAATCTGTCCAAGACCTTTACCCTCCTTGTTTGGTCATCATTATTTTTCCAAAATACATTTTCTCTCTCTCTCTTATTTTCAATCACATTCTTCAATGAAATAATATTATATGCAAACTCAAACCTTTTCCTTACTTTTTAACTACACATTCTGCATCAAAATACTATTCCAAAATGCATTTTGGGGAAAAAAAATGGGGCTCAAACCGGCTGTCAATTGGCAAATTATTAATAAGATCTCACCATAAAATAGTGTCCAACCAACTGGAAAACATATAGTTCCACTTATACTTTGGATCAAGAAGTTCACACCATATTTCTGGACTCCTGAGTATCTTGATTTGACTAGAGCAATGGCAAAAAAGACTACACAACTCAGCAGT